TTAATTATTTCATTTTACTTTGTGCATTTCCCAGGTGTTTTTCCAAACTATCATCCTCCTAAGGTGGCCTGTTAGTTGGATGGAACCACACCACAGCCTGCACTGGCATGGATCATTTTATGCCAGACCTGGGCAAAGTGCGGCCCATTAGCCGCTCCTGTCTGGCCCACCTGTCGCTGCTGAGTGAGCCGGAGCCCCGGCTTCGGTCACCCAGCGCGGCAGTTAGCAAAACTCGCGAGATTTGACGCTGGGATCTCGCTAGTATTGACTGTTACTCTTGAGCCACAGGCTGCGGAGCCTGCGGCTCAAGAGGCCGGAAGCAATCCTTGTGCAGGCGACGTGATGATGCATCACGTCACCTGTGCGGTATAGAAGACAGTTGGAGAGGAAGTCCGCAGGGGAACGGAGGACAGGTGGGTTAGCTCAGTGTCGGGGGGTTTTTTTCTTTCCCCCCTACGGTGAACAAATTACAACACTCACATAGTTAACTCCCTAAAAAGTTTATATAAATCCAATAAATAAATAAAACAAAATAAAATAGTTCGTTCACCACAGTACTACCCACAAATTGGAGGCCTATTACTACCCACCTAATGGGGGCCTATTTTTAAGCAAAGTTGGTTTGGCCCCCGAACACAGTTCAGATTTTCATGTGGCCCCCTATAGAAATTAATTACCCACCCATTTTATGTCAGTGTGAGAAACAATATCCACCAAATTGCTGCCGAATTGACTAAAGCAGTGGTTCCCAACCTTAGTCCCCCAGATGTTCTTGAACTATAACTCCCAAAATTTCACTAGCTGCACTGCCAAGGATTTCTGGGAGCTGTCGTCCAGGAACATTTGGGGACCCAAAGTCAGGAGCTACTGGACTACAACAACGATTAAGGGTCTTGAAAGCTGGAGTTTAGAGGACCACCACTGCCCAACTTTGGTCTGAGGGGTAAACAACCTGATGCTCTGTAGATGCTTTCGACTTCAGCTTCCACAGCCCTCTTGGTCAATGGTTAGGAAGTATGAGAGTAGTATTTGGAAATTGATGGTGGGCACACTTTTCTCTTGAGCCATCATTTTCAAAGGTATGCTCAATTATGCATGTAGCAAAGCATAAGGCGCTGTTTATATTGAATTAGACCACTGGTCCAGCCACCCCAATATTTTCAACAGCAGTAGCTCTCCAGAGTTTTAATACTGGAGTTTTTCCCACTCTAACTGCAAATGCCAGCAACTGAAACTAGGACCTTTCTCCAAAATCCAGTTTTATTCACCATTTCTCATCTTCTAACTGTTCAGGTCACCTCCACAAAGCATTTAAAAAACAGCACCGAGACTAAGGATGCAAAAAACATGTGATTATGAATTATTTCCAGTGCACAGTTATAGCAGCTGGATTATACATTAACCAGCATGGCTCAGAAATGAGCCACTGAATTATGAAGACAAGGGACTTAGCATTTTTTGTTAGAGAGTTCTTGTGCATTTTCCCCAAATCACAGTGGAGACTTCTTCCAGGTTCCTCACTAAACTACAAATCCCAGAATTCCTCAGGATGGAACCATGGCAACAAAATGGTATCAAACTACTTTAACCATGTAGCATACATGCACCAATAAAACATCTCAATATGCTAGTTTCCTGTTTCCAGTATTCAGATATGAATGTCAGTACTTATGCAGCTAAAATGCTATCTGTACATAAGCGGCAGACTCAAATAAATCCCAACATCAACTGTACAAAAAACAACAACCCATGTTTCAGGGGAAATACTGTATATAAAATGTTGGGAATGAATGTCAGTACTTATGCAGCTAAAATGTTATCTGTACATAAGCGGCAGACACAAATAGCAACTGTAAAAAAACAACAACAACCCATATTTCAGGGGAAATACTGTATATAAAATACACAGGGTCTTATACAGTATTAATTTTTGCTCCAAAAAACACATTAGGGCTTATTTTCAGGGGATGTTTTATGTTTTTCATGTACAACAATCTACATTAAACACAGACATGTCATCTTCTGGTTGCTGCACAATGGTGCAGAGTGGGGCTTCACTTAACTGGGGCTTATTGTTGGGGTAAGGCTTATATTACAAGCATCCTCAAAAATCATACTAGGGCTTATTTTCAGGTTATTAGGCCTTATTTTGGGATAAACAGGATAAGTAGCCCAATGAGATCTCAATATGCTTAGTAACTGCAAACTAAAGACTGCAGAGGTAGAAAACTGCCTTGAAAGAAGGAAGATGGGTGGAACAACAACAGCATGAGTCAGCAGCAACTGAAACTTGGGGCCTTAAAGTATTCCACATGCCAACATTTTTATAAGTCCCAATTGGCACGCCCTCTGGTACCTGCTGCCACCTGTAGGCAAGTGATATAAAGGTGCCTCTTCAAGCTGTTTTACATTTGGTTTTTCCTCCTCAAACTGTCAAGTCTTGTGGGTAAAAAAAAGGAGATACACATAACCAGCATACAGTCAGCCTCTTTCTGTTAACATGCTGGACTATGTAATTAGGAGGTGAGAAAATGACAGTGCACTTTTTCCTCATCTGTGGTGCATTCAGTATGGGAGAAGGGGCTGTAACTTTAATGTCTAATTGAACCCTACCCTGGGGTTCAAACCTCCTTGCACCTAAAAAAAACTCTCATGTCATGGAAGGGGATTCTGCTTAGTCTTTATCTTTTTCTTACATGCTAGTTTAAAAAAAACAATGCTGGGCTGGGGGTGTAAAAAGGGTCTGTAGGAATGTGAGCATCAGAAAAGGGCAGGAAGACATATTTTGCCTGCAATCTGACATAACGATGCCCAGGCTAAGGTTCAATAGGGCAGGCACGTGAAAAAGAAGGCTGTGTCTTTATAGTTGGATAGAACACAGAATCTTAGCAGGCATAATTTAGCATGGAAGCATCACCTGCTCATGCTTCCTCTTGCACCATCTGTTAAAAATATAGGAACTCTCATCCTTTTCTTGGGGCCATGCTAAATGAAGAAACGTGGACTATGCAATGTTCTGGCCTACAACTTTCGCCACCCTCATTTAACACAGCCAACCTGAAGCAAGGATGGGAATTTTAACTGAAAACATCTGCAGGACCTAGTGAAGGATACCCATGATTTGATTTTGGTGATCTTATAAATCAGCACTTTTGGACTGTGCACTCACTAAGGTCTACAGTTGCTTGTAAATGGGAAAGTACATTTTCTTCCACAGAAAAATATTGTCAGAAGAACACAGATTCTCTTCAAAAACAAGTAATGACCCAAACTGGCTAGAATTTTTTGGGAGTTGAAACCTACCTTTAAAAAAACATTTTTTCCAAGTTTCACTTGTAGTAGATGTAGTGTTGGCAGGGAGGTTTGAAGCTTTTTCTCTTCTTTCTTTTTAACTAGAACCCAAACATCCAGATGGATGCAAAAAGACATATAGCTAGATATGTTATGTTTTTATGGGAACGAAGTGAGTGGAGGTTGTGGGGTTTTACTTGTTTGTACAAAGTAGTGTAAATTCACTAATTAGGCAGTATATAAATTAAAGAAAGACACTTAAGTCCACTGCACTTTGTACATGTTTTATGTGGAATTTTGTAAGCAGTGGAGGGAAGTGGGATTTGAAAGGCAAAAGTATCAGTGCGATCATAAACCTACCAGTGCTTGCTAAATGATGAGACTAAAGATTACATAAAATGGAAATGTTAAAATTACATGTACAGAAAAATGCCGAGACTATCATGAAACAAATAAAAAATTGGTTAGTCAACCCTACATAAACATACGCAGTGAAATAAATCTGCCCATACCAGTCATTGGAAATAGAAGTGAACTTCAATTAATTCTTGCTTTGTTGGCTCCTCTTCGAATTTGTATTTGAAATTATTTTCTTTGAGAATGACCCACTGAGGTCAGCAACAATATATCCTAGAAAACTAAAGTGATTTTGAGTATGTATCACTGTTTTTGATGTTAGATTTTTACCTATTTATTTTTGAAGATGAGATATGAAGGGTTTACCTATTTATTTTTGAAGATGAGATTCAGCTGAAGGGGGGAAACAGTAATTCAAGATATGCAGATACCACCATAAGCTGAAGGCAGCAGAAAAGGAGGAAGACAGAACATCGGCTAGACTGATTCATTAAAGTAAATAATGACTTTCAGCTTGCAAGACCTGAGCAGGGCTGTCAGCGACATGACCTTCTGGAGGTCATAATTTCATTGGGTTGCCATAAGTCGGAAATGACCCAACTTCGTATAACGGCAATGACATTTACGGCCCGTTTACTGACAATTAAACATGTTTAAGTCCGGAGATTCCTTATGAGTACTAAAATTTAATGATCCTTGCAGTCCAAGTCCTGTCTTCCCAGACAAAAACCTCCCCCTTGTTACTCCAAGCTTTATTTCGGCCGAGGATCATTTTTCGCTCATGTTGCTGGACCTGGGAATCCGAAGGCTCTGTAGATCTATCGCAAATGACCCACTGATCTACCTGATGCCCGCCCGCAGGATAAAGAACAACCCTTCATCTCTGACTAGTACACTAACTGCTCATAACAACGACCGAAACCCTGCCCGCTTGAGGTCTCAAGACTCCGTGAGGGAAAACCCAACACAATGCTACAAAATGGAGGTCCTTCCCTTCCCCCGCCCCAATTTCCAACGCCCTTCCCAAAATGGCAGCTGCTTTACCCCCCCCCCCGCTAGTTACGCAATGCTTAACCGTCATAGCGGCTGTTGGGCGTCACATTTACGTCAACGTCGCGTAAGGCGAAAGTGACCTTCCTAAGATGGTTCCCAACATGCCACGGCCGTTTATCCTAGTCATGCCACCTCCTTGTTAATGTCAAAGACAGCGTTAAACCTACAGAGTTCAGAATTCAACAAGCCTTTGGTGAAGCTGGGGGCGTAGAGAGAACTTGACGGAAAAAAAAGAACATGACGGTGAACGTTTAACCCCCCCCTCAAGGCGGAAGCGACCTCGCTGCCATGGCGACAGGGTGGAGCGCGACACTGCGCAGCGTTTTACACGCCCCGCTCAGGATGGCGGCGAGAGTTTGCGTGACGGCTTTCCTTCCCTCTCCCTCCCGGTCTCTATGGTTCCTTCCGTGAGGGCTTTTTCTTTTCCCCTTCTCTGACCTTTCATCTATCTATGGTCTCTTTCCCGACCGAGAAAGCTCTTAAGCCTTTCTAGGGCGCATGCGTCGCAGCGGCGCTTCCCAGTGAACCTCAGCGGGGCTGTCCACGGGTCGCGGTGCATGTTGGGAGACCGGGGTTTCTGCTCCTGTTTCCTCTCTGGGGGGTCTGGGCTGAGGAGGCTGCGGCTGCAGAGATGGTGAGTAGGGGAGGGGCACGTTGGTGGGATGATGCGGGGAGAGAGAGAAAGAGAGGGCTTGTCCGTAATAACTAATAGCCTCACTAATAACAATAACAGACCTGCCAAGCTAGGCTTTTCCCCTCCCATTTCCTTCTTTCCTCGCTCAACCCCGTTTACCTTTTCCTATCCTAGAGATGCCCCATATTACCTGTGGCCAGGTAAGGTCCTCGTCTGGTTTCCTCTTCTCTTTACATCACCTTCTCTCTCTCTCTGTCTGTCTCTCTCTCACACACACACACATACACACAGCGTTGATAACCCATGTTTTATCCTCCTCCTTCTCACCCACCTCCCCAAAAAAGTCTTCCTTAGGGGCAACCATGTTTTTCCTACCCACACACTCCCAGCCACTTTTTGGGGTTAGGAATTCTTCCTCCACCCCTCGTTTTCCTTTGGGAAAACAAAAACAACCACAAGGTATTGTTTATGTATTTCTTATTCAATTTCTGTACTGCCCATCTGACTAATGGTCACTCTGGGTGGTTTTCAACAGTGGCAATAACAACAACAAAAACACTGACATAATCAAAATTAAAATTGAGCTAAGAGTACATTTAAAAATGGGCAGACAATGTACCAGTATTTGTATGCCCCCTTTTTTTGTTTCTCACATTGTTTGTTTGCTGCCTTGCTCTTCTCTTCTTTTTATTCAGCATTAAGTGCCTCTCCTCCCAGATGCATTTTAATTTTATTAACCAACGTTTTTCTTCCTTTTTCTTTCACGGAGCTCAGGGAATGGTATGGGCTTTAGCCTCCACCCTTTGCCTCCTGTATTTTCCAACAGCCCTTTGAGGTAGGAAGTGTGTTTGGTGCAAAATAACACCAACCCAATAATCTGCTGGGTGTTGATTTAATACTGGAGTGCAAGGATAGGGGAATATTGGTCCTCTAGATCAGTGGTCCCCAACCTTGGGCCTCCAGATGTTCCTGGACTACAACTCCCAGAAGCCTTCACCACCACCTCTGCTGGCCTGGATTTCTGGGAATTGAAGTCCAAGAACATCTGGAGGCCCAAGGTTGGGGACCATTGCTCTAGAATCTAGAGGACATATGTTCCTGGACGACAACTCCCAGAAGCCTTCACCACCACTTCTGCTGGCTAGGATTTCTGGGAGTTGAAGTCTAAGAACGGCCCAAGGTTGGGACCACTGCTCTAGATGTTAGAGACTACAGTTCCCATGCTGGCTGGGGCTTCTGGGAGTTGAGGATTAAAGGTTCCCTACTTTTGTTTTATGGTCAATTAGGAGAAGGAGAAATGTTTCTTATCCCACATGGTCACCAGTGAGGCTGAGTTAATGTTGGTGCTTCTCAGACTAAGCTGTGTGTGTGGAGAGAACTAGTAAGAAACTGGGAGCAGGAGAAAAGCAGTAGTAATTTTAGAAGACATTTCAAGCTTCTTGGAGAAACAGAGATGTCTTTAGCCCCAGAGCTTGATGGAGATAAGACTTCCCAAAGACTGTTTGAAACAAGATGCTCCCTTCAGTGACTGAGAGTTATGCAAGAGATTGTTATTACTATTAGCTTTTACACAGAGAGAGACTTTTTTTAAAGGGAGGAGTCAGAAACTTTTGGCCCTGGCAGTGATTTCAGCCTACACCATCCATCCTGAGGTTGCAAGCTTAGCAAAAGGCTTAGCAAAAAGCAGGAGTGGGAAAGTTCTGATCTTCCACATGTTTTGAATAACAACTTCCTACAAATCCTAACCATTGGAGACATCACGTGGGGGTAATCAGTGATTTCAGCCTACACCTCCGATTAGCCCCACCTGATGTCTCCAATGGTTAAGATTTCTAGGAAGTTGTTATTCAAAACATCTGGAAGGTCAGAACTTTCCCACTCCTGCTTTTTGCTAAGACTTTTGCTAAGCTTGCAACCTCGGGATGGATGGACTGCAACTTCGATTATCCACAGACATAGGCATCTCTGAAGGACACAAGGCTAAGGAGGTATCTGTAAAAAGATTTCAGAAATGTGGCCTGTTTCAGCATGTATAAGAAAAACACAATGTAAATAAAAACAAAAATATCGTGAGAGCTTAAAGTGTGAGTTTTTATAAATTATTGTCCATTTCCACAGACATGTGAATGAAATGTTTGGCCACAGATTATAGCTGTAGATATATATATTGCCCCATCTTTGGTATAGATTTATATATAAACCTATATCTAAAATATTTCACTCTGTTTGTCTTAAGAGGCATAACTGTTTACAGTGAAATAAATCTGTTATTAAAGTGCTGTTTTACTTTTCTTTTGTTTTTCTTATCTAAATGAGGAAAGATTGAATAACCTTTCAGGGACCCTTAATTTCTTAGCAGCAAAGTATACAAGAAACCCTAAGGTTTTCACTGGGAAGTAAAAGTCTTTGGGTTACTTATATAGGTGAGCCTCAAAAAAGTGTACCTTGGAAATATTGGCCAAATGCATTTCTGAATTCTATTGTTGTTGCCCTTGCAGGAGTGGGCAACTGTGGCCCTTCTGGTGTTATGATGCAGTTCTCAAACATGGCCCAGATGTTCTTGGAAAAGAACTTCCAGGAGCTCAGACTGTTGGCTGTGCCATCTAGAGGGCTTCTGATAATTGTAGTCCAAGAACATGTGGAGCCACTGGTCTGATAAGAGTTGCAGAACTGGGCAGGGCACCCGAAGGCTGCTCCATACTGTGTATTCTGAGATATTTTGATTCTGAAATTTGTTAATCCCATAAAGGGAAGAAGTTATATGTGCCCCAAATCCAAAGGATGTGGAGCACGTGTGAAACAGACAGCATGTGGAACCTTTTATCAATATCATATAGATGGAGTGCACAATAATGATATTGCAGACTTGTGATTATTATTTTAAATCATATTATGGATATAGATGGTTGGCAGTGGGTTTCATCTGAAATTCTGTGATATGTGCTCTTTAGAGAGCTAGATTCCAACTGGAATCCACTGGTATTAATCCCCAAACTACAGAAGAGAAATAAACATGGCCTTTCTCACTAGGTTGTCAGTGAGAGTAAACACACTAAAAAAGGCAAGGTGCTTTCAAAATTAAATGTAACTAATGTTTTTGCTAAGTACAGTGGTGCCTCGCTTAACTACTCCCTTTTAATTTTTGCATAAGCTCAGAGCCTAATGATGCAGTTTGAAGTACAAAGTAAATTCTGTTGCTTTCAATGAACAATGCCTACAATTGTATTCCACATTTCTGATTTTATCTCAGAAATAATTAATTTAAAATTATTAAAACGCTACCTTTCCCCCACTGTGCATTTCAGGTTTTGGGGCTCCCTTTTGCCCTGATGCCAACTTTGGGAGATTTGGAATGGAGGTGGAGGGAGGTTTTTAGGCATCCTTCAGTCTCAAAAAAACTATGGTAATGTGCTCTGTATGGAGGACTTGGAATAGCGTCTAGTGTGGCTGAGAAGGCCAATTCGAGAGTGACAATCCCTTCCACACTGAAGACAAATACAATCTGTCCCCTGTCCAGCTCCCTGATTTTGCTGGTTTCGTGACTGCCTCTTTGCCTCTGCCTGCTGGAGAAGTGTCTCTTCAAAATGAGAGAGGCCATGATGCACCGCCTGCCTCTGGGCTGAATGCTCAGATGTCAAATTTTCCATTTGTTGAGGTCCATTCCTAAGGCCTTCAGATCCCACTTGCAGATATCCTTGTATCACAGCTGTGGTCTCCCTCTGGGATGATTTCCCTGCACTAATAATTCTCCATACAGGAGATCTTTTGGAATCCAACCATCAGCCATTCTCACAACATGCCCAAGCCAATGTAGACATTGCTGTTTCAGTAATGTATATGTGCTAAAAATTCCAGCTTGTTCTAGGACTACTCTATTTGGAACTTTGTCCTGCCAGGCGATAATAGTCAAAAATCACTGGTGGCCCTCAGGCTTCCCCAGGGCAAAAGGGACCTCTAGGGAGCCTTACAAGCTCATTATTTCTGGCACCCCAGTCCAATTTAAGCTAGCACGAAGTTACACGATAGGATTTTTCCCGGTGTCTTATGTATCTGAAAATTTGGGCGGGGGGTGGATAAGAACATAACAAAAGTTGCTTGGTACATAACTAAAAATAAGGAAGCTACGTACATGAACACCATTGTTGGGCACGAGGCATCTTGCTGTGTTCCCAAAGAAACTTAAGACATGGTCTGCACATGCAGCAAAGTCTGAGGAAATAGAGTGGCCAGCCCTATTTGAAGGTACCAATGAGATATAACTGCCCTCAATCGCTTCTGTGTTTCCAGTCTTTTCTTATTCTACAGGTAGAAAATTGGAACACCAGGAAGAAATGTTCTAGCTGCTCCTCTCCCTGTTGTGCTGGTTTTCTACTTGACGCAGAAGTTTAAAAAAAAACATAGAGGAACATTGAAAATGGTTTTGGCTCTTCCTTAGTCATTTGAGCTCTGTTCAGACCAAGAGAAGATAAATTGTGTTATTCTGTTCACTGTTTGTGTTGACTTTGGTCCTCCCTCAGTGAACTGAGTTACAACCATTCCAGTTGTGTTTCCAGTCTTTTCTTATTCTACAGGTAGAAAATTGGAACACCAGGAAGAAATGTTCTAGCTGCTCCTCTCCCTGTTGTGCTGGTTTTCTACTTGACGCAGAAGTTTAAAAAAAAACATAGAGGAACATTGAAAATGGTTTTGGCTCTTCCTTAGTCATTTGAGCTCTGTTCAGACCAAGAGAAGATAAATTGTGTTATTCTGTTCACTGTTTGTGTTGACTTTGGTCCTCCCTCAGTGAACTGAGTTACAACCATTCCAGTAGACTTTTTGCGGTCTTTCCATCCTTTTGGTCATTACGAACATTTTTAAACCATTTTCGCACCTCCTTCCTCTCCTAGCTGTTATTTCTTATGTGTCATGGCTTAAATTAAGACTGTATGTCTGAGGACAGGAACTGTCATACTGATTTTTTTAAAGCTGCTTTGGAAGCCTTTTTGGCTAAAAAGAGTATAAGTTCAATGCATGACGCCTGAATGGTTGAATCCACTCTGCTGCTTGTATCATCATGTGCCATCAAGTCAATTCTGACTTATGGCAGCCATTTTCTAGGTAGGGAATACTCGGATGTTGGTTACCATTCCCTTTTTCTGGAGATGCCCTGAGACTGTGCATCTTGCCCAAGGCCACACAGGCTGGCTCTACTCACAGGAGACACAGTGAGGAACTAAACTCCCAACCTCTAATTCTACAGCCAGATACCTAACTCACTGAACTGTTCAGATCCACCCAAAAATCTCTGCCTGAGCACAGTTTTGGCAGGCTTCTCTGGGAGTAAAGTAGTATATACTTTCCCCTTATTTGGGAAGGAATCTCACCATGTTGTTGTATTTCTCTCAGATGGAGAAACTTGCAGATAGTTGAGTCATACTTTCCCCTTATTTGGGAAGGAATCTCACTGTGTTGTATTTCTCTCAGACGGAGAAACTTGGTTGAGTCAGATAATTATAAAAGAGAAGTGAATAGAATGCATAAAAGTCCAGTTCAGTTGCAAGGGTCTCCACTTAACAGGATCAAGTGAGATAGTGAAGAGAGAAACCTCTGCTTATGTGACCTTGGAAAGTCACTGCAGGTCAGAGTAAGGAGTGCAGAGCCAGATGGACAAATCATCCAGCCTTAGTATTAAAGAGCTTTCAATAAGTAAGACAAATTATCCAGGCTAGCAAAGTACCCATTTCTCTAGGTACTTGTTACAGGCAAGCATAGCCTTCACAAAGGCAAGTAGGAGAACTTCTGAAGTTGGAGATTCCTTTGGCCACAAATAATCTGGATGTTTTGGATTCCTTAAAAAGGTGATGCAGTTTGCTTAATATCCTGAACAAGTGCAACTAACTTTCCCTTGTGGGTCTTCCTTTCAACAGGACGTCTTTCTGATGATCCGACGTCACAAGACTACCATCTTCACAGACGCCAAGGAGTCCAGTACAGTGTATGAGCTGAAAAGAATTGTTGAGGGGATTCTGAAGAGACCCCCAGAAGAACAGAAGCTATATAAGGTATAAAGGAAGTTTCCCTCACTCTGGCATTTGTCTTCCTGTTGCATTTGGTGTGACACTAGGGCCCTGTTGTTTTCAGACCATTTCAGCCTTCATGAATACATTTCAGTATTTTCCTTTTCTGTAATTCTGTATGTATGTCTGGCTCCTCTCAGACTTGCTGTGTTAACGATACACCTCTTAAGAACTTACTGCTGTATGATAAGTATTTGGGTATCTACGCAATGAAATTAATCCCCAACCAGATATTATGCGATGTACATAGCCATTTGAAATAAGGTTTCTGTAGACAGTGGTAAGCAACTAATAACTTATGAAGCTATATCTGGCCCCCAGATGACACTGGTCCACCTGGTTAGGTTTTTTTGGTGTCAGAGGCCAATTTTCAATATACACTAAGGAAATTAGGGTCAAAAGATTCCTTTTCATCTCAGGCTCCCTATTAACATGCTGTGCATTTCTACTCTACTCCCGCCTCCTTCCCTGTCATGTGTGTGAGTTATGTTTTGACCACAGAGCTTTACCCTGTGTTCCTTTTTTGATCTGGCAAATTGTTTTGTAATCCTTGATCTTCCAATCCTTGCTGAAACTCTGTAAGGCAGTTCTTACATGCATAAAGCCAACATGTAGTTTCTGCCCTAAGCCAGGATTTTGATCTAGTCCTGCCCAGCTGATCTCTTAGGCACCATTGCAGTAGCTAGCTGGCTTTTTTTTTCTTCCTGTGGTTAAGGTAAGAGATCCAGTTGATCCTTGCACTCAGATTTTCATGAATTAATAGGCACCTTCTGAGTTTTGGAATGCTACCTTGTTGGACTACAACTCTGACGGCCCCCCACCTTAGTACCCCATGCTTGCTGGAGAATTAAAGTAAATTTTACCGGCTCTGTGCACATTTAAGGAGGTGAGAGTAACCCATTTAATATTTCCTTCCACCATCCCACTCTTTTCTGGGATTGACTTTGTTTTCTGAGCTGTTGTGATGTTCTCAGGAGTCCTCTGGTCTGTTAGCTGCAGTGGAAGCAGTGTCAGCACATTTGCCATTTATCCTTAATTCCCCCTCAAGGTTATCTCACTGCCTGTGTATTGACAGAGGTCTCCTTTCTCCAGCAAGCACAACAGGGCAGGTTCACCACTGGAAGTAGGGGCTTAGTATTCATCCTGACGATCTGCCAAAAAAAGAGAAAAGCAACCAGGAAACAACTTCACTAGTCATAGATTCCTGCTGATGCTCATAATCACAACTGTGGAATGATTGGCCACACTCAGTACAATGCTGCTACGGGCCACTTCCTGGCTGGAGGCAACTGCAACGAAAACCTTGCCTAGTGTGCTATGTGAGTGTGTTACCCTGAGCCATCCTGCCTAAGACATAGTTCTCTTTTGTTTCCCTGTTCAACCGTCCCCACCCTCCAGGACGACCAGCTGCTGGATGACAGCAAAACTCTTGGAGACTGTGGCTTCACCAGCCAGACAGCGCGGCCCCAAGCCCCAGCAACAGTTGGCTTGGCTTTCAGAACCAGCGGTGAGTGGTGCTCTCCAGCTTTCTACATTTTAGATGGAAGGTGTTGCTTTCATAAACTTAAGAGCTTGTCCGTTCTTATGAGTATTTTCAGGTTGGATAGTAGTCCATCACTTTTTTTAAAATGAGGAAAAGGGTAAGACCAACCAACAGGATGAAGGTATCTCAGACAATTAAAAGCCTGTAGGAGATAAATGTTGTCTGCCTAATGCCTCAACAGTTAGTGGTAGGCATGCCATAATGGTGGTTCCTCCACTGAAAAAGGTCTCTCTCACCCTGAGTGTCTCCAAGCAGAGGATCTCTGAAGGTGATACAAGCCAACGGGTAGTTTGATGTATGTACAGTAGCTTAAATATAATCTGTTAGTCCCACTGATTCAGTGGAATAGGCCCACTGTATCTGAGAGTTCCATATGTGTCAAGTTCGTGAAGTTTCATAATTGGATTTAGCCCAAGGAGTGCAACTAACTAGTCTTTGAGGTACCTGAGGATGAGGACTTCAAGATAAACAGCAGTCTTTGGAACTGTATTCAGAAATGAACCAGCTTCCAGAGGAGGTCCTTGGTCTCACTTCAGAAAACCTCCCAGAGCAACAAAATCAAGATGGGGAAGGAGGAGAGGGGGAAATGAAACTCAAGCATAATTCTTAGCAGACAGCTTTTGGGTAAATACCTTGGGTAGAAGCCGGTCAGTCTGGTGGAATGGCCAGTGCCAGGTGATATTCAGGAGTAGTCCAAGGCAGCTTTGTCTGTCAGTGGAGACAGTGAAACAGGCCTGCTTCCCATTTATCCTTTGGCAAGGAGAGCAGCTGGGCAAAAGAAGACTCCTACAGTGCAGAGGAATGTAGGACAGTTGTGATATTCTTTTTGAAAATCTTAGCTACTGGGTTGGGCAGAGCAACGTGTTGCTGTAATAATTTCAGTCTCATCCAAACTGTGTTATAACAGAAATAGGGAACCTGTAAGTCTTAATCCACCCAGAGATTTCCCATCTGGTCCACAGTCACTATGAAGGAGAGTGACTGCTAGTGTCCTCTCCAGTCAGCAGAGATTCCCCTATACACTGATCTCGGAAGGAAGAGTACAGCACTAAGTGTTGCCCAATTTGTGTGTTATCTAAAAGTCATGGTTGTGGGTGTAGCCACCACAGTCCTGGTGGCAGCTGAAAGAAAATGCCTCCAGCCACTGACACGATCAGGCTAGTTTGATGCACCCAGGCTTTCCACAGCAAAGCCAACTCCCAGGCTGGAGAAATTCTTACTGGCATCCAGGACTGAATTATGTCAGGGCATGAGCCTCCTGACACCATCCAACCTATGGAGCATTCAAGGAGGACCATATTCTGACACCTCCTTTCTACATAATGTCCCCACTGCTGGACTGTGTAAAAGAGGCAGAAGAAAGTGTTTTTTTATGTACTGAAGCTAATGGATGTGGGTATAAGTGACTACTGGTTCAAAATACAGGTGCAAACTGGTTAATTGTGTAGGATTTGCAGCTGGATCTGCTCACAGTGGTCCTGCAAACATCTTTAAACGTGTTATGATTTGTGGGTGTGTTTCTTTTTGTTTGTTTTGGCTTTGGATTTGTCAGGTCCAGATGCATTGAGAAAGGTACAAGCTGACCATGTTGTCTTCTTTCTCTCTCTCTCTCAGAAGATGCTTTTGAACCCCTCCGTATTGATCCCTTCTCCAGCCCACCTGAACTCCCAGACGTGATGAAGCCCCAGGACTCCAGCAGTAGCGCAAATGAACAAGCAGTGCAGTGAGAGCCAGATGACAGCGGAGTGAGCTGCACAACCCATGGCACCCCTTCTTCCCCCTCATCTTTATTCAATCTTCCAGTGTGGAGAGAGACATGGCACTAGCCCTTCCCCCTGCCAGTCCAGGATCCCCATTGCCCCTCTCTAAGCAAGGCCACACACCCTTCCAAGACCCTCCCCACTCTAACAGAGCTCAGTTTTCACTTTGGTTTTGAAAACAATAAAGGTTTGGCTTGTTTTTCCCCCTTTTTTGTCTTGTGTCCTGGGCCTGTGCTATGAAATGTGAAGGGATCCTGAATTCTGAGAGGGTGGTTTGGGTGCCACACCTCAAATCATGTTTGCTGTAACCTTAAAGTACAGCTGAGGAGCAATGTGGCCTTCCTCTTGGAAGGAATGGTGGGATTTGCAATCCAGTGCCATTTTGGAGGACCCACATTAACCAAAAAAACTGAAAACGTACTACTCTGGATTTATGTCTCTCTGTGTTAAACAGGGTAGATAACATCTGGCCAAAGGAAACATTCCCATGTTCGCTTAAGATGTCGTACTTCAAATTAGATATCCTGCCAGTTCCATTCTTCTCCATTAAATTCTACTGACTCTCAATTTGAGGAGTAAAAAGGGCCCATCAGAGCAAGGTTGATGGTGTCTTTATAAGAATACATCAATTTTCTTCTATAACATTCACTAGAGTTGAGTCAGAACTTTTTTATTCTTCTAAGGTTGATTACTTTAACCACTAACCCAGGAATCATGGCTTTGGAAGGAGCTGTAAGTAATCTAAGTCAGTATTCTAAGTAATCAGCTGACTGATTACTCAGAGCAGTGGTTCTTAACCTTTGTTACTCAGATGTTTTTGGACTGCAACTCCCAGAAACCCCAGCCAGCACAGTTGGTGGTGAAGGCTTCTGGGAGTTGCAGTCCAAAACTCCTGAGTAACCCAAGGTTAAGAACCAGTGACTTAGAATACCTCTATTGCCTGAAAAATACTTGGAGGAATCCATATTTCAAAAGGTCTTTTAGTGTGGTGTGCAACCAAGTTCTCTAAACTTCCACAGGACATCCAAGGCCCACAAGGAATTGTGTATGTTTAGTCTAGAGAAGAGAGTACCCTATGACAGTGATGTTATTGAAATATGTTAAGATCTGTCCTCTTTTGTTCCAGAGAGCAGGATTTGGAAGTGCTGGATAAGAACAGCAGGGGATCCGTTTTTTACTGAGCAATATGAAAAGCTTTCTAGTACAAACTATTTGTCAGTGGGGTAAAGTTCTGTTGGGGCTGTCATTCATTGGAAATATATAAGGCAATGCTGGTGGCCATCTGCTGGAAGTGCAGCTGCTCAAGGTTTTTTGTGATCTCTAATAATGGCACCAGTATATAGTTCAGGAACAGGCAAAGTACAGCCCTCCAGATGTTAAGTCTGCTGCTTCTGCTCAGCCCTAGCTGATGATGAGGAATGCTGAGACATACAGTTTGACATCTAAGAAGCCACATTTTGCCATCCCTATTAGAGCTGCAACATTCTTGCGCTGAGCAGTTAATTGGACTAGATAACAGTAATGATTCCATGTGAGATTTGAGCTGCATATGTCATCACCTATCTTCTTTAGGAATTAATGGCATGGTTTATTCAAGGTTTCTGGCCATTTCAGGCAGGACCTCTTGTTACAGGCCTAGAAATTGTATCATGTGACTTTCCTGAATGTGTAGATGACCTCTGTGCAATGCACTGGACTGAACTGCCTATTACTCACTGAAGATACATGGCTATTTTCAGCCTTGTGCTCCTGAGCCAATTCTGTGCCTAGAGATTCCCACCATTTCTATGTTGTAATGGTAAAGAGGAAGCTGTTTTAAAGCTTCTTGGGCACTCAAAACATGCCTCAAAGGTGGCTCCCAGCTGTGGCTAGATCTCTTATCCTTAATATAGGCCAAATAGAGTATAGCAGCTGTGGTCAGAGCCTACCAAAGGCTGACTTCCACCTGTGCAAAATGTCGGCCACATAATATGCTTAAAATGTTCTTTGGCTAAAATTTAAAGACTAGAGGAGTGGGTGACATTTTGCATTCTGAACATAACGAGAAGAGGTTTTCAGTGTACTATTAAGATAATTTTTTTGTGATCTTTCATAATGGCACCAGTCTATAAATAAATGTGTGTTCACATATGACAAGATAAAGGGCTAAGCAACTTAGAATTGGACATCCTTGAGGGAACTGAAAGTGTAGATCAGGTTGAGCAATTTGGGGCCGCCCCAAGAGCTGTTGCACTGTAACTTTCAATGGTTAGTCTAGTTCTCAGGAGAGATGCCCACCCCTGGTGCATTTGAAAGAAGGAAAGGGGGCCTAAGAATAAGTCAAGTATTTCAGAGCCCTTCTTTCCTGCCGGTGGCCTCACAAATGGAAGGAACCTGCCAGCAGAGGGCACTAAACTTAAAGAAATAAAGAGTCAGTCTGGCAGAAGTGCTCAGCAAAAGAAGACAATTAGCCTTCAAAAGCAGTTAGGCTGCAGTTGCCAGGATCCTGTTATATTGCTTATGTTAGTTAGGGCTGATGGTAGTTCCACGTTGAGAGCCTTGAGTAACCAGCTTGTGTGTATGGAGTGGTGGAATAGGAGCTAGGGTCAAGAAGACAGTGGGCCTCTCCAGCTATCTCATCTCAGGATCTTGCTGAAGAAAATAGGCCAACTTTGTGCTTTGAACTTCAGTTCACTGTGTTGACATTGGAGTTGAAGGAGAAAGGGTATAATGTGACTTAAAATAAAGATGGGGGCTAAGTGTACTTCATTGTCCCATCAGTCCAGTCTGGGAAGGACAGTAGTATGAGGTTGGAGGTGATGTCTCCAATTTCAACAGCCAAAAGTGTCTGAAACCTGGTACCACCATCCAGCCCTAAACATACCCAGTTTCATTTGGTGTCAGACGCTGAACACTGTTGGACTGGATTAGCACTTGAATGCAAGACCACCACAAAGTACTATATATCCTACTGAGGAAAGGCTCAGAATCCACAGAATTCACTTATTTAGTTGCATTAATGCACTTTGATGTAAAAGAAGATTTCTTTAATTGTGTCCAAGGTCAGAATGAACCTCATTCCTTTAAAAGGATCAGAGATTACTTGAACAATTAGGAGAGAAGTGGCACTTCAAACTGTTGATTCTGCAGCAGGAGTTAAAACAGAAGGTCCCAGGTTCAGTCCCAGGCAGCATCAGGTGAGAAAAAACTTGTGCCCAAGATCCTAAAGAACCTCCCACATATGGACTACCTGGACTACAGATCTGACTAGGCTACAAAACCAAAGGAGAACAACTACTGTATAACCCAGCAGATGGTGTTTACTGGACTGAAACTGTCCAAATCTCTCACCATTGGTCAAGGCTGATAAGAGTTGTAGTCTAACATTTGGAAAGTCCCTTAAGAAACATGGAGGGGCTCTGTTGTGTCAAGAATGATGCCTCCAATGTCTTTGATCAACCCAACCTTTATGAAGCTGATGCCCTGCAAATGGGCTGGACTGAAGTCCCCGTTATCCATAGACAACAGGCCTTGTAAATGCAATTAATCCAGATGGTGGGTACCAGCTCGGATTTCTCCAAAAACAGCCAGTGCATAATTTGTACTTACATCAACAGTGAAGCAGACAGCCTAATCTTTGCTTAAAACAGAGCTGGGTTGTTTGTAAAATCAACATGAACACGAAGCAGGAGGGCAGTTTGCATGAATTAACAAAGTGGAGGTAATCATCATGCACATTTTTACTTATTTAGTGGCACATTGCCTTTTATAGAACATCACCATCATCATCATAATCACTGGTGTTCCTGTTAAAGAATCTCCAACAGAGTTAAGTACTTTGTGGTGTTCAAAACTGACACATTCTCTCTCTTAATGCTGTTGCCTCCAATTTAGGCAGATCATGTGGCTGACTTCAGAAGGACAAGCCATGCAAGTAGAAGACGTTGGTTTGGTTTTGAATCAACGGTGTCACGGAAAAGCTGGGGGCAGAAAAAGCACTATCCAGGTTGTGCACAGAAGGGAAAGCTCGGCTCACTCCGATTCTAGCTCCAGATGCCATGTGCCTAAAGACACAGCTGTCACAGCCACGAATAGTGTCTTTTTTGCCCTAAAAGCCCTTTGTTTCTCCTGTGTCAGAGAAACGGCCCTGCTCTGATTCTATGATCCTTTGGATATTTATGACTAGAGACTGGAGCAGTAACTTTTATGGGAGTACAGTTTTCAAATCTATCAGCCAGCATGGCCAATGAATCAGTGGCTGGCTGGGGGATTCTGGGATGTTCATTCTCTAAAGAGTCACTTAGCACTTATCTGAGCTGCTTGAAAGGGCAAACCAGCTACTAAACACATGAAAATAATACTGGCAAGCCAAAGATGAAGCAGTTTGCAGAGGGTCCCAAGTAAAGATGGGCGTAAACCAGTTCAGCCAACAGCTGAACAGGTGTTCTGCAGTTTGGTGCCCTGCCCCCTCTAGCAGGTGCCCAGTTAGAGGTAGCACCCTGAGCAGGCGGGGCAGGGAAGCTGAGGAGGCTGCTTCCACCTCTAGTTTCAAGTTTAGTTTCCAGCAGCCCACTATTAAAAAGATCTTTGGGGCAGGTTTGGAAATGACCCCTCTTACACAGCCCCAGCCAGTGAGAATGGACATTCCAAAAAAACACCTCCACCCCTTTTCAAGCTGTGATCTAGTCTCGTCTCCCCCAAGTCAGTGTTCTCAAGATTAACAAGCCCCCTCATTGCCACCAGAACAGCAGATGATGGGAGCAGGGGCCTACCAGCTTGAGGAAGGCTGTTCTGAAGTAGCCATCACTCTTTCTCTACCAGAGTGCAACTCCCAGCACAGCCAATGATGAATGAGGATAAGTGTTGCATCCAACAACTGAAGCACAAGTTCCCCATCCATGCTTTAGATAAATATATAGGTCTCATTTTCTTTCTCCTGGTGATAGTCTGTATAGTAGACCCGCATTATTATCCCCATATTATAGATGGAGAAGATGAGGCTTGAAATGGTTTGCTTAAGACTTCTTTGCAAATTCACACAATAAATAAATAAATAAAATAAAAATTAAGGCTTCTTTGCAAATTCACACCCAACATTACATTTGAACCAAGGACCACCTGGGCCATTAGGTATACATATGTGAAGGTTACAGTGAATTATTTTGATATGGGTTCTCTGAAACATCTTAAGAGATGGGAAGTAGCATATTCATTGCTCAAATAAAAAA